GCTATTCTCGACACAGCAATTATAGGACTTGAACAGCGGAACTTTGTATCTGAACAAGAAATTATGTCTGTTTATAGAATTAAAGAGAAAGAAATATCACATAAAAAACGAAACAACTTACATTGAAAGAAATGCTTAATAAAGTAAATAAATAAACATTAAGCTTTTTTTTTTTTTTTTTTTTTTTTTTTTTTTTTTTTTTTTTTTTTTTTTGTAAATTTTGATACCCTTTAGATCATAATTGTTCTTTCTTTCATAAATTACGGTTTCATATTTTTAATTTTATAATTTCTGCATGCCATCTTACCAGATTTAAACTGATGATCTATAATCCGGAAAAATCGATAATCTGGAATCGTCGAAGTCCCGACTAGTCCGGATTAACGACTTTTGATTGTACTTTGCATGTAATCTTTATTTTGATATATGCAGAAACATATATAGGATGGTTTTAAAATACCAACATATGAAAAGAAGGGTAATAAATATATTTTGAAAAAATATATACATTCAGTTTAAAAAAAATCTTAAATGAATCTTTATATCAAACATTTTAATATTAATTTTTTAGGATGACACATAATTTCATATGGTTTTTCATTTATAAATAAACACATTTACACTCAAGGAGAGGAGCTCAGTTACCTGGCTATCTCCAGGAGACGCCTTACACAGATTAAATCTAAATTCAGGCATTACCAAATAAAAATTCTTCAATCACTTATGTTGAAATACAGGAGAGCTATCTGCTCAAGGGAAGCAATGTCTTCATGAAGGGCATTTTATGATAAGCAGACTTGCATTTGTGTTATACACGAGAGAAAACCCTCGATGACACTCAAGCAGCCAGCCCATTTTCGGAATTATAACTGTGGCATTAACGTTTAAGCGAACAAAATTCTAAAAACACAAATGCAAACTAACTAGTTAACTAGTAGCTAAACATTACTTTAATATGTTAGTATGATATGGCAAAACATTACTCGAATTTATGGGTATGGCTTTATCATATGGCTAAATCTGATAATTTTATTATTAAAAACTTGATACTAAGATAAAATACATCTAACATTTTTTCAGAAAATGTTCACAGTACTGAAGTCCATATGATACATCCCATGTGAGCAATAAACACCATTATGTAAAGAATAAAAGTTAGATCTTGGGAGCCTGTAGCTTATACATCTAAACGTATGGTATCAGAATAACAAAAGTAATCGGTTAATCTTTGGATTATGGTAACTTGGCAATTTTTTGGCAAAAATTTGGCGACCAACTCTGTTACAGCAACCCTCTATTTTTTTTTCGCCGCCATTTCGTCTTCACGAAGTAAAGACATGTTTCTTTTCTTTTTATTTACTCAACACACTTTTCAACATTCTGCAACATTCTGCTAGCCGAATTACACTTATGCTAGAAATTTTATGGAACAAAAAACTGCTTAATCATGACAAATATTAACTCCAAAATTGGGAAAAAGAGCAGAATCGCAAACTCCTGGCCGCGTGGCCGCGTTTTTCAGAATCGCACATACACAGTAACCATGTACACGTCGACTTATTTTTACTTAAAAAAGCATCCTAGAATTGCACAAAAATGGCATTGTGCACACTCTTGACTTTATCCATGTACACTGCTATTTTCTCATAAATTACAAGAATTTGCACGAAAATGCAGGAAAATTTTGTGAATCTTTAAACTCAGTAAAAAGCATATATATGAAATTACCTGATCGCGAAAAAGTATATTCCCTTTCCAAGGATGAACATTTCCACGTATAATATAAATAAAATATCCAAAAACTTTTACCTCTAAATTATGTATTATAAACGTCACCAATGAATTTATAACAAAACATTAAAAATGGTTACAAATACTTAGTGTCAAATATTTAAATTATTTCCATGCCCGTTTACTTCCACTGAAACATATACCAAATTGCTACAAACATATAATTCACAAAATAACTATCATTTAATTAAAATATAATTAAACCATGTACACATCAACTTATTTTTACTTACTTAAAAAAAACCCATCCCAGAATTGCACAAAAATGCCATTGCGCACACTCTTCACTATATCCATGTACAAACTGCTTTTTTTTTTTTTTTTTTTTTTTTCATAAATTAGAAAAATTTCACGAAAATGCATGAAAATTTTTGTGAATCTTTAAATTCGGTAAAAAGGACATACAGTCAAAAGTCGTTAATTCGGACACCCATAATCCGGACCTCAAAGCTAAAAACTTTCTGCGCATGCGCTGCGTTGGCACATGCGCACAGGCGTTTTACGCGTGCGCGTAAGACCTTGACTACTGCGCATATGCGTGTGCGCAAGTGCAGAATACGTTTTCACCTGTGCGTTTAATGTATAACGGATGGTGTAAGCTAAAATTATCTAATTATCTATTTCAGTTAAAGTTAATGATTGCGTTGTTCATTAATCTTCGAATTGGATCCCGCTTGTTATTTTTTGCAGACTGTAAGAGCAATTTTCTAAAAGTAAACTTGAACTTTCGATTATGTCAAATAGAATTTCCAATGCTGGAACTTCCAAAGGATCTACAAAACGAAAGTAATTTTCGATGTCCAAAACAAACAAAAAGTGGAATTGCTGAAAAAAATGGATAAAGACATGAAGAATGTGACAGAGAGATTAGTGAAAACGAAAAAATTTCGATTGACAAGTTAGTCGGTATTCTTGGCACAGCAATTAACGGGACTTGAACAGCAGAACTTTGTAACTGAACAAGAAATATGTCTGTTTATAGAATTAAAGAGAAAGTATTGTCACATAAAACGAAGCAATTTAAACAACTTACATTGAAAGAAATGTTTAATAAAGTAAACAAATAAATATTAAGTTTTTTTTTTTTTTTTGTAAATTTTGATACCCTTTAGATTATAATTGTTCTTTATTTTATAAATTACGGTTTCATATTTTTTATTTTAGAATTTCTGCATGCCATCTTACGAGATTTAAACTGATGATCTATAATCCTGAATCGCCGAAGTCCCACCGAGTCCGGATTAATGACTTTTGACTGTATATGAAATTACCTGATCGCGAAAAAGTATATACCCTTTCCAAGGATGACCATTTCCACGTATAAAATAAATAAAATATCCAAAAACTTTTCCCTCTAAACTATCTATTATAAACCTCACCTGCCAATTTATAACGCAAATATTAAAAATGGTTCCAAATACTTAAATTCTTTCCATGCACATTTATTTCTACTCAAATGTATTCCAAAATACTACAAACATATAACTCTCAAAATCACGATCATTAAATTAAAATATAATTAAATTAAAAAACACTACTTAAAATATAAATAAGCACATACATTAAATTAATAAAAATTAGCTTACAATCCTAATTACTTTAAACTAAATCATTGCTAATAACAATTTTCCAATAATACCATATTAATTTATTTACTCCTTACTTTTAGAATGCATAAAACTAATATCCTCAAATAATTAAAAATACTAACTTACCAAATCTTCTACAGAATCTTGAGTGCATGGCTGATCACAAAATGTCTATTTTCACCAGATTTCTTGCACTGCCATTCAAACTTACTTGTAATATCCTTCCTTTCACACAATCTGATTTCGTTCCCACATGTTGGACATTCATACTTATCCGGAATTAAGCAATTCTTTTTAATTACACATAAACGCAATAAAAATTCTGGATTTACTTTATATAGGGCCATGGGATCCAAAAATTAAACAACACTGTTTCACAGAACATAGAATGAAACTAACGCTATAAAGTACAGCAGATATTTTTACAAATTTACCCCCTTTTCCAATTAAAGAACAGTGATTCATCCATTAATGTCACATGACATATCTCTTGATCTCTCATTTTCCTCGCACAAAATAATGCGTAATCAGAACTGAGTACTTCTCACATTATTCCCAAAGTCCTAGGTAGTAAGTAACCTTTATCGCCTCCAAAATGTCGCCAAACTACCTGTTACCATAATTCCAAAGATTAGCCAAGTAATCCCACAGGAGTGCCAAATGCAAATGCATGTTTTGACATTATAAACTAAAATATAGATATCATGGTCCTCAATTAAACAATCAAAAATACTTTTATCCTTTTCAATAACTAAAGCATATGACTTTTCTTACAAATTTATACACATATCCACTTTGTTTATAACATAATGAAGATTCTCAAGTATAAATACCACAAAACAAGAAACTGTTTTGTTACATACTATAAAAGTATGCTATGAATTACACACAACATTTTTGACTTATATCAGTGAAAAATTATAAAGGAAGTAACTAGACAAAACTATTTAGCAGTTTATTTTGACACGTGTCAAAATTATTTGTGGTCTACTACACAAGTTTGCAATATAAAACATCCTGAATGGTGAAAATGCATTACTTGAAGGCAAGGCCCTTTCTTTTACATATGTCATTTTTAGCTCAAAATGAAAGTTGTATTTATTAAATAAAATGTATAAATTCATGCATAATTAAAAATTCATGTGAATCAAATAAATTAAGTGGAACTAAATGGTTTATTTAAACAATTCTGCTAATCTCAGAGTTTTGCACATTTTTAAATACTCAAAATTCACATGCTTTAGATTTGTGTTGTTATTAGCTGTATTATCTAAAAGCTGCAATTATAATTAACACAGAGAATAATAATATACACAAAGAATTACTGAATAGTCTACAATAAATACAGAAAAATTGTAAATGACAAAACAGTACTTATTGGAATCATGCTCATCGAAAATCTTGAATGCATGTAACAAAAAATAAGATCAAATTGTAATGTAAACAAACAAATAATTAAAATGAAGTTATAAACATTTCAACAAATGGAAATGATTCAGAGGGCAATTTCACAATAGGGTTTCTGATGCCAGTATAATAAGATTCTATTACTTTTTAGACGCCTATATAATGATTAATTGAGAAATAGAAAATATACTTGATTTTCAAATGACAACTTACTGTTTACATATTGAACGAAAGATCTGAAGCATCCAGCATCAGTGGCTTAACAAAGATATATGTAGTTTGTTCCAAAATCTCATCATCTGCGTATTCCATGTATTTATGATTTCCATACAATATTTCATGATGCTGAATGTAATATTTACATTTCGAGTACCATAACTCAAATGGATTATCCGCCATGTTTACGATCATAACTAACATTTATAATGCCAGATTTCACACCAACAGTTGATTCATTCTTGCTAGTAATTAGGAAAATGTAAATTCAATAAACAAAAATTCCAAATACCCTATGAAATTGCAGGGCTTCCTTTGGTAATATAGATAACATTAGTAATTTTCAAAATATGCTACCTTTTATTTAATTGGTTTCATTTTTTATTTAATCAGTTTTATTAATGATTTACAATGAGAAATATGAATACAAGCGTGTTCTGTTTAAAATATCTCTCATGAAAGCCTACATATTCTCAGTGACGCAACTTTCTTGAGTTTTTGCCATAATCTACTAACCATTTGCATATCATAAGTCAGAATGGTATAGATGTATTGATGTGTGTGTTCCATAGATATACAGGTTCTCCATGTTTTTTTAAGTGAAAAATGAATAAAAACTGGCTTCCTTCCGAAAAGACTTCTATAAAATAAATCCTTCTGCACAGGAACTGCCCTGAAATAATTAATTTTTTTAACCACACTTAGCATTAGTGCATTACTTGGGCTAATTAAGATAATATTGACGAATAATAAATAATGAGTTATTTAAGTTTTATATTTTATGTCGTTTTTGAAGGAGGTATGGAAACCGAGAATCAAGTTAACTTTGAAAATTGGGTAAGTTTAAGAATTTGTGTTCACAAATTGGCAATATGTCATTCGCTGATAGAGATTGTTTTTATAACTGGTTGCGGTCATGGCTGATGATACGCTAAATGTTCGGACAGAATATTTAGAACGTTTAAAAAGGTTTATTTGCATTTTGATCGTTCCGTTAGTTATATATTAATTATGTATTTTTTAAACACTGCATTTGAGATATACTATATTTTGAGTTATGCTTTCACTGCAAAGTCTGTTTGAGAACTTTTTTTTTTTTTTCTCCTTATTTTCCGAGCTAAAAACGATATTTTTTAGAGTTTTTTTCTGTTAATGTTCCAGTCGGATGTTTTTTTTTTTTTTTTTTTTTTTAAATTTAGGAACTTGAAAACAGATTATTAGTTTATTTAGAAATCGCAGTAAGCTTGGTAAACTTTAGAAGGAAAATAGTTCTAACGGGAGCTGATTAAGAAAAAGTGGCGAATTAAGTTCTTCAATTTCATCTTGTTAATGTGAGAAAATATTTGCACCTTTTTTGCTTTGTTGCATAGATAATTTAAAGTAGTGTAAACTGTAATAAAGAATAAAACATTGGCTTTTTTAATTTATAAAATTTATGATTCTTCATTAAGCTGGAATGTTACTTTGTTTAATGCTGTTGGTGTTAAGTAATAGCTGCTTATTTTGGAAGTGCTGAATTTTTGGAAAAGAAAAGTGTAATTCATTACACTTCATGGACTATCCACAAATTTTATGAGCCATGATAATTTTACATATTGCATCTGTCAGCAGTTATTTTTACAAAATATAAATCTGCATAAGGCATTTCCAGATAAATTTATCAAATCATTATTTTGATCACCCTGTTACAATAAAAAATTCCTTTTTAATCCTCTTGAATGTCCTTTAGCAATATATATTTCATAATATAAGATTAGATATGACTATAGTTGATATTTCTTTTCTAAATTTCTTCCCCTCTTTTTTTTTTACATATTTATATTAAAATGGTAAAGTACAATTTACAAAAATAATAAAAAGTTTTATTTTTGTGGGGGAAAATAAGCGAAGTACTTTGTTTTAATTTCTTAACTAAAATTTCAAAAAATCAGAAACCTTTAATTTACATTCATTAAAATTTCTTAGAAAACCTGTGTAGAATGTATTCTAAAAAATTGTAAAAGCTTGAACATTTAAAGGAAAAGAAAGAAGTTTTTGGTCTACAGTGTAAAAAAAAAAAATTTAAAGAAGTTTTTGGTCTGCAGTATAAAAAAAAAACGTATGTCATTAAGCTGCTGAGTATTCATGATCTCTTGTTCTCCTTTCTTATTCTGTCATTTTCTCTTAACATGTCTGAATTTAACACATAATATTTAAAATAAGTTGAAGATGATGAAAAACTTTCGGCTTTCTAGTTGTAGTTTGTAATCTTAATGCAGTAAGTGCCATTGCTAAGGCTTGGAATTAAATGATCAATACTGATTCATGTCAGGGAAAACTGATTTTTGATATTAAGTAGGACTGTTGAGGATGTGGTAATAACATCAGACGGCTCAAATTACAAATCAAGCTCTGAAGTTTTTTTTGGTAGTTCCTGTATATAAATTGAAATTTCGGTATTATTCCATTTTGAGGACCATAAAAAAATTGCAGAGAAAATGTATGCGCAAAAGAGCCAAATCTAGCAAACGTCCCATTTAACAGTGCGCCAAATTTAATGTATGTGCTGGTTTCAGATCGCATAAGTTTATGTGGTTCTATATTTCTTAAGACACCATTGAAGTACTAGTTTAATTTTGATATCCTATGGATTTAACAGTTTGGGAATTGTCCATGATGAAAAGTCTGCAATAGAATTTTGGGTAAAGAGCGGAATCACCCACTTCTTGACACGTTTTAAAGAATTGCACATGCTCGTTATCTATGTACACATCGACCTATTTTCACTTTAAAAAAAAAAGTCCCAGAATTGCAAAAAAAAAAAAAAATGGCACTGAGTACGCTCTTGACTTTATCTATGTACACATTAACCTATTTTCACTTAAAAAGTAAAAGAAAATTAACAAGAATCCAATTGTTTTTGCCCTTGTAAAAAGCTGCTAGCAAATAAGTGGGCGATTCTGCACCGAGAATTTTTTCAAAGAAAAGGCATCAATCATTATAGAAAATTATGTTTGAACAACCAACGAGATGAAATTATGCTTTAGCGATAATTCGGTAACGAAATAGCGATGCAGGCATCCACTCAGTTATGTTTAGAAATTTTTATATAAATTATAATAATGATCTGAAATAGTTATTCACTCTTTTGCGTCCATTCAGTCATGTTTAGCCTTTTTTATATAAATTATAATAATAAAAAAGTATATGAAATTAACCTTTCATCTAAATTAAAACATCAATCTTAGATAGTTATTTACTATTGTACTTCCTTTCTTGCATTAATGTTGCTGCAATTATTTTTGGCAGCACTGGCATCAACAATAGTTTGGCGATTTTTTTACGGCACTCAGAACTGAATAGTACCGAAATTTTATATGTCCACTTTCAGATTATTGATGCACATTTGTGCATGAGTAAGCGTAGATAATTAAGAATTCAATGTTCATAAATATTTTTAGATTTTTTTTAAAGTTGTTTACATGATTGCCTCTAGCACTATTAATACTTTATTTAAAATTTCAAATAATTATCTTTTTATACTAGTAAAAATGTGTTATAGAAATGACTTTAGATAGATATACACTGAAGTGCCACTAAATTAGGGATATCAAGGGCTGTGCAAATTGTGTAGCTCTGCACATCATTTATGCTCAAATGGTAACTGCGTATATAGCGTGTACTGTGGTTATTCTGAATTAGTTTTCGGAATTGCCAGTATCGGTAAACTGCCTGATTTAGATGCCTTCAATCATGGACAAATCGTAGGTGCGCGATGCATGGGCCATTCAACTTCCGAAATCGTCAGACATCTAGGATTTTCGAGGTCGACAGTGTCAAGAGTATACCAAGAATTCATGGATGGTGAACAAAAAACTAGCGATTGAGTAAACTGCAAAGGACAATTAGCCTTGACAATGCGTGGTGAGAGATGGCTCAGGCATATGTATGCAGCCAGGAAAGCCAAGCATTAGCTCAAATTACCACCCAGTTGAATGACGGGGCCAGTCATACAGTCAGTAAATGGACTGTGCAACACTCACTTCACCGTATGGGTTTCAGGAGCCGTCGACCTTTGAGAGTACTATTGCTCAATTCTCCCCATCGGGCTGCACGTCTTGCCTGGGCAAGAGAGCACAGAGTGTAAAGGATTGGAAATGTGTATGAGCATGGAGTCATGAGTTTCGATTCCAACTACTTAACGCTGATGGGAGGCTGAGAATAATGGCGTCAGGCTCATGAAGCTATGAATCCTGCATGCCAGGTTGGAACTGTACAAGGGTGTGGTGGCTCAATTATGGTCTGGGGTGTTTTTTCGTGGCACTATTTGGGATGTTTGGTGCGTTTACCAACCTCCCTCAATGCAGTTTGGTACGTAGAGTTGCTCTGTGATCACCTCCATCCGTTTATGTTGTTCTGTTATCTGCACGGTAATGGAGTTTTCCAGCAAGACAATTGTACCAAGTCCCGGTTGGCTACTTGCTGGTTGGATGAGCATACCTCTGACTTTTCTGTCATAAATTGGCCACCTAGAAGCCCAGACTTATCCTATTGAGCATCTTTGGGATGTTTTTTGAACAAGATTTTGGAACAAGGGGTGAAATGCCATCACACAGCACCAATGAACCTTACTGAATTATGTACAGTTTTATCTAATATTTGGCAAGCCATTTCTGTGTAACGTTTCCAGAAACTCGTTGAATTTATGCTTCATCGTGTGTCAGCCATTATCAAGGCCATATCGTTACTAGGTATCCCTAATTCAATGGCACTTCATTGTATAAAGATATTACTACTTTTTACAAAAAATTATTTGATTAAAATTTTATGATAAATATAAAACATGTATTATTACACTGTGTGTTTTTATTCATGAGTTTTAATACTTCCTTTATCATGAGCTTGGCATAACTGAAAAGTATTTTTTAGACGCGTATAGTATAATCATTAGGCGAGAGAGAGAGAATTGTATATGTGTTAGGTTATCCCTATAAATTATGTATATTTTCAGAGCATTCTAACATAATGTTAAAAAGAACTTCAATATATATCTATATCGTTCATAAATTTGTTCCGTCTTAGTTTTAAATATCTAGCTCTCTTGGAATACAAACTTTTTACAATTAATTTGAAACACTGCATCAAGTTTATCTCAGGTGTAATTTGTGAATGCTTCTGTAATGATGGTAAGCTTATACCTGATCAGAAGAATATGGGAGATAAATCATAATTCTTCAATGAAATTGTGTTTATGAGGTTGTGCATTGCCATGATAAAAAAAAAAAAAAAAAAAAAAAAAACTCAATTTATGTTAGCTAATGCATAATTTTTTTCCGCCAATACTTCGCTTTAGTCATGCCAATTATTCATAATAAAGCTTCTTAGTCATGGTTTGAATTTTGAGAAAGGATTTATAATAAATAAATCCTTTGTATGTGGTCAAACACACAGCATTAGAATACCTTCTTTCATTATTGCAAAGAATGTCTAGTTTTCATCAACCATTATACTTTATTATTTTTGTTGATTCTAGTTTTAGTTATGTAATTGATTGAGAAATTAATTTTCAAACCTAGAAAACTAAGATACAGGGTTGCCACTCAAACAGGAGAATGACATTCTCTCACTTTTCCAGGTGTGTTTTAAGAACATTCCAGTCTGTCCGTGTAGTGTGCGTTGGTTGTGCTGAGGGTAAATTAATTATGGTACCAGTAATGGTAACACAAAAATTTGCAATTATATATGACGTATAATTAAAGCATTACTATTACAACTATAATAAGAGTTGTTTCCTTAATAACTTTCAAATTACGTTTTCATCAAACTAAGAAAATTTGCTATGCATTATTTACATACTAAACCACAATTCTCTTTAGCAATCATCAGCTATATCACAAAATTAGTAAAGTCCAAAAAAATTCTCTGGCTAATCTTTGGAATATGGTGACAGGTAGTTTGGCGACATTTTGGTAAGGCGATAAAGGTTACTAGCTAGGACTTTAGCAGTGTACATGGATAAAGTCAAGAGTGTGCACAATGCCATTTTTGTGCAGTTCTGGGATGTTTTTTTAAATCAAAATAGGTCGACGTGTACATGGATACCGTGTATGTGCAATTCTTAAAAACGCGGCAAGCAGTGGGCGATTCTGCACTTTCTCCCAATTTCGCACCTAATCTTCGTCATGATTAAGTACTTTTGTTCCATAAATGTTCTAGCTTACGCTAATCCGGCCAGCAGATTGTTGGAAAAAAATGTTGAGTAAAAAAAAAAAAAAATGCTGTTATTTCATAAAAACAAAATGGCGTCAAAAAAAAAAAAAAAAACTAGCAGGTTGCTGTAGCAGGGTTTGTCACCAAAAAATCGACAAGTTACCATAATCCGAAGATTAACCAATTCCCTTTATAATTACATGAAAAGGTTATATAATACAGAATGATTGTTGATGCATCTGAAATATTTGCAGTCACTGACACTGAAATGCATTTAAAATAAAATGCCAGTGCAAATATAATTAGTTAAAAGTAAAACTTAAAAATTAATTTTACATGCATAAAAGCATACATTTACAAAAGAAATTAAAGACAATACATTCTATCTGTTTTAAGTCATAAACAAAATCAGAAATGAAATTCATTGATTTTTCAATACAATGTGTACATTAGAATTTTTTTCCACCATTCATTGTGATAAAATTGTGTCATGAATGATTGCTGTATTGTTTAAAAAAATATTAAAGATAGATTCTGGAATGGAAGTTATTGTTTACAAAATGGCAGTGGGAGGTCAGTTATATCTATCCAATGTTAGTGCGAAAATCACTTTTTTGGGGGATTGCCGTATGAAGTTCCCTGACTTTTTACAGATTTTAACTAAATTATTTTAATTCCCTGACTTTTCTCTGTTTTCCAGGTAGCGTGGCAATCCTGCAAGAAGAGGAAATTCATGTGTGATATTTTATGCATAGCTCCTAATCTAATTTAGAATTTTTCCTGTAGCTTTTAAATGCTCATGTGCTGTTGAATTGATCCATTTGAGTTGGCCAGATAGGTGTTAAGTTTATGCTTATGTATCCATAGATTGCCAATAGATGGCGGTAGTGTTTATAAAAAGAAACTGTGATGTCATAATTATGTATATGTATCAGTTTGTCTTTGGTGTTCATTAATAAACGTTGTGCGAAATAACGCTCCTCTGTTTATTACTTTACATTCGATCCAGTCTGATTACTAGAGACTTACGTATATTTTGTTTATAATGCCTGCAAACCGGGGTTATTACGAACCAGAAAATCGGCAGACTAAATAGTTCGAAAATGGAGGGCGTTCTTGAAAATTTGAAAAAGAAATGGTTTTGCTGTAAGGCAGTTAACTACGAAACTGATAACCAAAGTCTAAACGAATTTAGCAAATAATATTCCGCTAAATGAAAAAATTGAAATAATTGAGGATTTGTATGACAGCTGATTGAGAAAATCAACGAACCGAAAAGTTTAGATTCCGAAATCGAAACGAAAGTAACTTCGGAAGAGATTGCGAATGAAGTTATGCTAAGTCTAAAATACCAGGATAAAACTGTTATATGGTGAGGAAGAATGAAATGATTTTTGAAAAAGAATTCGGAATCTTCTAGAACAGTTAATTAGAATAAAATGGCTAATGTTGCACTTCCAGATGAAACGAAAATAGTGAAGTTACCATGTCTGCAAATCGGAACCTATTACGGAGATTTGTGTAAATGGTTGGACTTTTGGAACCAGTTCAAAAATACAATTCACAATCGTAGTGGATTGAGAAAAACTGAAAAATTTGCATACCTAAAATCCTTACTTGGCAGTAACTGGTTTTGCTGTAAGTGACCAGAATAATGATTCTGCAATAGAAATATTGAAAGAATGTTTTGGAAGACAAGATGTTATCGTCACTTCGCATATGATAAATTATTATCTTTTAAACCAGTAGGGAACATTTCAAATGTTAAAGCACTGCGTAAACTGTATGATGAATGCAAAATCAACATTCGAAGTTTAGAATCGTTAAGCGTTACTTCTGGAAGTTATAGAAATATTCTCTGTCCTATAATTTTGCAGAAATTTCCGGAGGAATTAAATTTGGAATTTAATCGAAGTCGAAAATTGGAAGCAAGATTTGATATAAAGGAACTTATAGAATTCTTAAAAAAGAAAGTTAACTGTCGAGAAGCTGCAAGTTTAATGAACTCTGCGAAAACGAATCAGAAACCATACATTCGTCGAAATGAACAATACACGAAAGCTTGTCCGAATTATAAACCGAAAGTTTTCGAAAAGTATACTTCAGCTTTATCAACAATTGGATACAAATGTATATTTTGTGATAAAGAAGACCGGTACTTATGTATTAACGCAACCAGGCCAAAATTCGCATAAATTGCCAAATTTGGCGACCCTACTTACGGCAACCCTACGTGTTATACGTAGTTTTGTAAAAAGAGTATGTGGAGATTCACAAAATTTTCCTGCATTTTCATTCGAGGAACCCGCCATCTACAGGATGTTGTGTAATGAGCTACAGCTACGCAAAATCACTTCGCGGTGGGTACCGCATGCACTGACTGAAGTTCAAAGGTGGGTGCGCTATGCAATATACTCTGACCACTTTGCACGCTGGCAACAGGATGGCGATCAATTCTTGTCATGAAAAATGACCATCAGTAAATTTTGGGCCAGAGCATACGAACCAGAACTGAAGCGTCAGTCTGCGGAGTGGCGACATCCTGGATCATCAAGGCAGCAGAAGGTCCGTCAGAATCCTTCCCCAGTCAAATTGATGGTGATCGTTACGTATGACCTCAGGGGTGTCATTGTTTGCCACTTTGTTCTTCATGGCAGAACAGTGACCGCACATTAGTACAGGGACTTCCTGGTGGTGCGACAGGTACGACGTGGCGTTCGGGATAAATGTCCGGATCTTGTGGACAGTGCAATAATTCTGCACGACAATGCAAGACCACTTAAAGTAGCGTGTGTACGGCAGCTACTCCGTTGGTGATGGAGCACCCAACCATACTCTCCTGACCTTTTGCCCGGTGACTTTGATCTCATTCCCAAGATTAAGGAACCAATACATGGTAGGCGGTTTGCAACACGAGAGGACATTGCTAATGCTGTGCGCCAACAGATGACCCGATTCACACATGGTGCAGCAAATGCTGAGGCTGATGGTATTCAGCGCCTTCCACACCGTTGCCAGCATGTGGTGACAGTAGCAGGGGATTACACTGAGTGTCTTTAGGCCCAGGTTTCTCATGTCAACTTTATGTGTATTGTGTTATCATTCTTTTGCACGGGGAAGGCCATGTTGCCCTGTATACTACCGTAATAAATTCGTGTGTTACGATATTTCAGTGCTATTCATTGTCCACACATGTAGTTAAGACCTTGTCCTTTCGTCTGTATATGTCAGATTTTCCAACCGGACTGGTATCTTCAAGAAAAAAAATAGTTGCCATGACTTTTGCCCCAACCTACATATCATGAAGGCAATGATATAATGAAAAAGGTATTAATGACTTTGAGCAAATGGAATTCTAATTCAGATACTGTAAAAAACCAGTATAAATCAAGTGACAACTTCGTTAGCTTTAAATTGCCTGACTGTGATTCCCCCTCAAAGATTCTTGGACTTCAATGGGATACAATTAAGGATACCTTCTGTTTTAATGCACAAGTCATAATTATGTATATGTATCAGTTCGTCAATAAAGGTTGTGTGGAATAATGCTCCTTTGCTTATTACTTTACATTCGATCCAGTCTGATTACTAGAGACTTACATATATTTTGTTTAATAGACCTTTAGACACTAAACTTCAGATTTTTTTTTAAGTTCACGATAAACTTAAAAAGCTATTTTACTTTTATACCTTTTGCTTAGTGTTTTCCTGTAGTTTGTTTTTATTTCAAATTATTTGTATTAATTAATATTTTTTACATTTATTATAATCTGTATGTATTTTCAGCATTTTAAGTGATTCTTTTTATAAAGATGCCATGGAACATGCTGCTAGCTATAACACTCGCCTTTGCCTAGAACGAAAAATGCGGTTGCCTTTTTTAGACCAACAGACAGGAGTTGCACAAAGTGATTGTGCACTGTGGATGCATAAATGGCAACGTATGCCAGGAAAGACAGAGGGTCAACTATATTCTTATCCTGCTAGACGTTGGAAGAAAAAGCGGCGGCAATACTTGATGAATAATTTTTACCTCACTCGTAGAATGAAAGAAGTTGAAAATAACGAATCAGGTTAGTTATGAATACTTGAAAATAACAAATCAGGTTAGTTATGAATACTTATTATATAGAACAATATTTTATAGTGTATGGTTTGTAACTGAACAATCAATCGGAAAGATAGTTTTTGGTGCATCACAAAAAGTGCAAGTGCTTTCTTGTGTAATGATATATATATATATATTTCATATATATATCATTACACAAGAATGATATATATATATATATCATTCCAAAGTTTGAAAGGTTTTTAAAGATATAATATGATATTTTTTTTGCCTTGTACTAAATTTTAAGATATACACTTGTAAAATTTGCATATTTTTTAGGCAAAACCTATCAGTGTGTACATGGGGATAGGAACAATGCATAAAAATGTATAGAAGTGTATTATTTTTTTAATGTATTATACAATAGTTATTTCATAGTTAAAATTTGTATTTGAAATTGCTAATTGCGTTTTTCTTTTATATGCTGATAATGATTGTCGATTTATAATAAATATCGATAGTTTGGGAATCTTTTTTTTTTTTTTTTTTTTTTTTTTTTTTAAAGTCATCAACATACATTGCATTAGTAATTTTTACCTTTTCATTTATAAAAAATCGTCAAATTGTGCGGAGGTGCATGGCTTAATATGTAACTTTATTAATAGTAAAAATGCATGTATTTATTTTATTGTTATTCTGCTCTAGAAATCACCAGTTTTTTGCTCTTTTAAGGCAACTATATACGTACAGGTTGCAAGATTAAAAAGTTATGGAAGCATTGGTGAAAAGTATTTTTAATTTGACTATTTAATATAGTGTCAACTTCGAACTATGACATATCGTATTTTAATGAAATTTTTGTAATTATTCTGAAAATAGTCCTAATTTCAACTTAAGGTGGGAAAAAAATTAAGAAAATATATTTTTCATGAATATTGCCTTCTTCTATAAAGTTGCCAAAAAATCTGCCAGTTTCATTATTTGTCGTCAAATTTCTGTTTGAAATGTTCTTGGTAGGCATTTTGATTGCTGTTTGAATTCCTCTTTTTTTATTATACCAGGAATAAGTACTATGAATTCTTTGTTCTGTGTTGCTAATTTTAATGACTTCATCATTTTTCCAATTTTAAAAGTCTACAAAAATTTTGGTATTTATTATTATGGCTCCCATTTTGTAAGTGGTTCCAAAATTATTTCTAAATCATCAATGCAATCCTTCTTCAAATGGTTAACAGTCCAAAATCATTTATAGCTTTCTTGTGAAGAGAAGAGCTCCGAACAAACCATATGTTAACCTATTTTTTTTTTTTTTAAATGTATGTATAAATGTTAACAGATCAGTCATAATTTTCTGACTATGATGAGCTCTGAGTATTTTCTTTTCAAGAAAAAAATTTGATTTACTAAGAAGTGATGAAGATACTTTTACAAGAAAGACTCATTTTATCATGCATTCAAAAATACAGAGAGGGTTGTTAAATAAAACTACAATTTGGGGATGCAATGTGAAAAGTTGCAAGTGAAGGAAAAGCATGCATTTTGTATATTCATCCATGGTTTCAGAATACTGTGTGTAATAATGCAGTACTTTGTTTACTGTTGGACTGAGAAAATAGTGTTAGACGCAACTCGGGTGTTATGAAAAATACATCTATTGGCTAGAAAAGTTTTATGAAAGATATGTATTCTCTATTATAATCTGACATCCAAGTAAACTAATTAGTCGCTCTGAAAAAATTGTGGACACAAATGAAAATCTGTCCATATGGAAAAAAAAAAGAAAAGAAAAGAAACCTGACAGCTTTTTTCTACAATATTGGATGTTTGGTGGGTTATGTGGAGATAATGATGAATTCTGTCTCATCCAGGTTCCAAATGGAGAAGCAACCATACTTATGGCAAAAAACATCATTCACATATAAGAGAGATCAACTATTTATTGTATTGATAAGCAGATAAAACAGAACTTGTAAAAGCAGGTTAGCTATATTTTATTATCAGATATTTATTAACTATCAATTTTATTTTGACTATCCGATAACAACCTCTCGTACACAAAATGTAGAGACGGTCATGCTCTGCAAAATGCCAGAATGAAAATCAATGAGGCATGGTTCGCCATCATCATAAATCTTAATTTATGGAGTTCAGCAGGCGAACAAACCATATGTTAACCTATTTTTTTTATTAACCTATTTTATTTATTAAGACTTTGGGCAAGAAAATACTTTTGATGCCATATTAAAAGCATTTACAGAAACATGGCAGCAATAAAGTGTGTTTGAGAAGTAAACCTGAACTTAACAATAATCCTGATACCAACTTGGCCTTTAAAAAATAGAAATATAATAATGAAAGTATTTGAGGGTGCAGAGTGAAAAGTTGCAAATGAAGGAAAAGCATATATTTTGTTATGCATAGTATTTATCATAGAATGTTCCCCGACTTTGCAAAATTCGGCTAAAGGGAAAGTTTTAAAATTATAGTATTATCAATGGTCATGCATGTCCTCTGTATGTGCGGAGGACGTGCATGACCATTGATAAGAAGGAGGTGAAGAGAAGGAAATTTTTTATGAAGAACTTTCTATGTTATACGGATCTTGTCTCAAGCATGACATTAAAATTGTTATTGGAGATATGAATGCTAAATTGGGTAAAGAGGGTTAATTTAGACCAACAATTGGAAAGCATGGCTTATATGACAGTACTAATGACAATGGACAATGACTAGTACTTTTTACTGCTGAACACAACATGATACTTTCAAGCATTGTGTTAAGCCACAAGAGTACATAAGATTACTTGGCACTCACCTGATGGAGAAACCTGGAATCAAATTGATCATGTACTCATCGATTCTAGGCATTCTTAAGATATCCTCTGTAAACACCGATAGTATCCCGACACCCATCTTTGTCAGAAGTTAGAGGAGGAATTAAAAAGCTAAAAAATAACAAGGCCTCTGGACCTGACTCGATTACTTCAGAACTCATTAAAAGTGCTGCAGGTCAAAACGTTGAAGAAATACGTGAACTCATTGAATCAGTTTGGAACCAAGAAGTCTTACCCAAAGATTGGAAACTGAACATCATCTGTCCTATACGCAAAAAAGGAGGCATTTTGAAATGTACCAACTACAGGGGAATCAGTCTCCTTTGTGTTTTTTTACAAACTATTTTCTAATATACTTTTTAGTAGGCAGTAACTTATACAGTGGTGGTGTGTATTTAATTATTGCAAAGCACACTAGGGCTATCTGCCTAAGGGGAGGGAGGCCTTCGTGGAGGACTTTCTAAGGAAAACTGGCTCGTATACTTATTACGCATGGCGAAAACCACGAAAACACCCATGCAGCCAACCCGTTCGCGGTATTCGAACCTCTGACCGAACTACCAGTGTTCAGCGACTTTACCGCTCGGTCGCTGGTGGGCCTCAGTAACTTACAGAAAATATTTTAGGTGATTACCGATGTGGTTTCCACAAAGAGAGACCTACAACAGAACAAATCTTTAACATTAGGCAAATTTCGGAAAAAACTAATGAATATGGCACTGCAAAGCACCACCTTTTTGTTGATTTTAAGACTGCCTACGATTCAGTAAACACAAAATATTTAATTGAAAGTATGAGAGAATTTGCAATACCTAAAAACCTTATAAATTTGGTCACCATTACTCTTACTGAGACAAAATTTATGGTTAAAATCCAGAATAATCTTTCTGAGCCTATTGTTGTTTCAGACAGGGTGCTGCACTGGCCTGCTTGCTTTTTAACCTTGCCCTCCAAAATATTGTAAAAGACTCCAACATTAATACTCATGGAACTATCTTTAACAAGTCTGTTCAGATTTTTGCGTTTGCTGATGATATTGACATAGTCGCACGCACTCCCGAGTCACTTAGAGAGGCTTTTACATCTCTGGAGGCTGCAGCCAGGAAAATGCATCTAGCAATCAACCAAAATAAAACTAAATACATGCCATGTGGTAATAACAACAGCCCCTGTTTTGAAATTGGGAATTACAAATTTGAAACTGTAGCAAATTTAAATATTTAGGATCAGAAGTTAGTACTCTCAATGATTTAATATCTGAGATACGTAGTAGAGTCACAGATGCTAACCGATGTTTTTTCGGTCTCAAAAAATACTTGAAGTCTAACTTCACTAGCAAAAAAACAAAGATTTTAATTTACAAAAGCTTAATCAGACTCATTCTTACATTCTCTGCTGAGACCTGGGCAATGACAGAAAAAGCTAAAAGTATCATTTCTTTCTTGAAAGAAAAATTTTGAGAAGTATTTTGCTGGCATAAAATTTAACAACATCTGGAGGAGAAGAACTAACTCTGAACTCTATAAATCTTTTAAAGAAATAGATGTAGTAAAATATATAAGGATTCAGAGAATTAAATGGGCAGGACACCTGTGCAGAATGGATGAAAATCATATAACTAAAAAGATCTCGGCCAGATCATTCAGCACCCAAAAAAGAGAGAGACCTAACTTAGGTGGCTCGACTGTTTGGAAACAGACTTAAGAATTTTAAAAATAACCAATTGGATGTCCTTAGCTAGGGATAGAAGAGCTCGGAATTCGATTCTGAGGAAAGTAAGGGTCCATCTTGGTCTGTCTGGCCACTGAAGAAGAAAAAGTTAAATTTACTAAACATTTGTTAAAATGTTAAATTTGATAATTAATACAATTAAATTTAGTTAGCAGAAAAGCATAATACAGTACAAAGTCTGAAATCCGGACATCCATTATCCGCAGTGATCTAAAATTCGGACTTCAAAGCCACAAACATTTTTTTTTTATTAATGCTTTACGCATGCACATTTGATTTTTCCTTCCATAATAAAACATGTGGAGATTTTTGCTTAAAAATTCCGATTCTTAATTTCACTTAGGCACTAAATAAAATACCTCATCATGGAATAATCATCATGTAAGCATAAAGCTGAGATTAATAATTTCGCTCTGCGCATCAGTGGTTTGAAAATTCAGTGGTAATCCAAGTTTCA